TAATTTTATTTTGCATATCAACTTCCTTGAGACTTATTATCATAAAACTTTAACATTAACATATTCTTGACATAATAGCGGTAATCTGATGATCGTAAAGTATTCGTGACATACAAAATTAGATTTATTCTTTGTTATTATGTTAAAATCGTGTTTTTTTTTTTAATAAAAGGGGGCAAACTAGCGGCTTGAATACCAAGGTGGTCAACGACGCCAATGGACATCTGTAACACCAGAGGAACTACAGATGCGTTGCCGGCCTTTGAGGAAATTGTAGGCTCGCTTCTTGAAGGATCCTAATTCTAATTTTATTCGTATCTTCGATGCTAAATATAAAATATCAATGTAAACATCTTTAGATTATGTTGAACTTGAAAACTAGTCTTTTAACTGTACAGTTCGATTATTCAATTAAGACTGCGCAAAAAAACTGAAGGTTTGTAGCGGGCTCTATAACTGAAATGACTTCAGAAAGAATTATCTAATGTTTCTCAATGAGTTTTTTACCCTGCTTCAACTGACAAGCAGTATAACGATAATTTTACTATCGCATATTCCTTCGTCTCTCTCATTCTCTTTGATAAATATGAGATAGCAATGCTGTGAATGTTTCGGCAGTGGAAACGGACAGTTTTGATATAATCAAGAACGACCAGCGTTATACTTTTATGATGTAATTTGTAGCTTTTTCACGATTTGATCAAAGCTCACGTTTTTTACTATAATAATTAGCGGATGGATGTTAGTTTGATGTATTTTGAGTCGAAAATAACACTTTAACTTAAATAACGATTCGCTTTTTGTCTTAACTATATGCTTTTGTAATCAGACTTCTACAAAGGAAATTCCAGAATTAAGGTGTTTTTTTTTAAACACAAAACGTATTGTGGGAGCAAAAAGTATTATTTCTTGTGTTTATTTTCTTGCGTATGTAGGATTATCTTAACTGCCTAGATTCTTAATGTTATGAGAACTCTAGATTATTACTGTTGTATTTTATCTGACACAGACTTTTGGTCTTAGATCTTTCTCAAAGGTCAGGCCTTATGCAGTTCTTCTAGTATTGCGGATGTTCCTGGGCGTCGATGAACTTGTCTCGGTGTTTCCGCTGCTCATTTACCCCCTTCTTTAATAAAAAATCTTCTTCGCCTTCCTTGTAATAGGAAATTAGTTTCTAATATTACATTTAAATATTGATAATACGATTGCGTAGTATGTCTTAATTTTACAGTGGTAGAGCCCGCTTTAACATCTTCGCACGAATGGGCCGTCTCGCCCGGTGTAATACCACGACCACACAGACAGGCGTGAAGTGGAAGCAATTCCGCGTTTCGTCTGATGAACCTTTTCTTAAGAGGAAAGGATGGAAAGGAAAAGTGGATTTGATTGTGGAGGAGATGCATAGGAAGGGGATTCCTCCTCCGTCAATTAAGGGTAGGCAACGCATCTGCAATTGCGGATGTTTATGGGCAGCGGTCGCTTTCCATTTCGGTGGATTCAGGTGGCCGCTTGCTCGTTTGCCACCTTATATTATAAAAAAAATCTATCCGAATTATTTTCATGGGAATTTTAAATTAACTGAACAGCAACTCGAATACTTTAATATAATTATCATTTTTGTATTACGGATTATTTAGCTACTAAATTTCTCTCTAAAATTCTACTAAAATTCTCGTATGGTCAGCTGTAAGAGAGCGCTTTTAGAGTTAAATCAAAGTTTAATACGATAAAGAAATTAATTTACATTAGTGATTTTTAAAGTAAATAAAAACTAAAATGAATGTGTCCTTTGATAAAATAAGTCCCTAAATATAACCGGCCACAAGTAACCGGAGAAGGGTCAATAACTTATGAGGCATTTTAATGCGTAATGGTTTTGTAATATTTTTTTTATATACCTTTATTTTGCAGCGCCTGCCATATTTGGTCCGGAAACGTAGTTACATTAAAATCGTAAAATATAAGTGAAACAGGAGTTTTGATATTAGGAAAGTAATTTCTGGATTTTTTAAAATGGTATGCAATTGTAATTTTTTTTTATAACCTAAGGTGGCAAACGAGCAAGCGGCCACCTGAATCCGCCAAAATGGCGAAGCAACCGCTGCCCATAGACAATCGCAATTGCAGATGCGTTGCCTACCCTTATCCGACGGAGAAGGAGACGCACATAAAGAGGATATTTCCTCTTCCTATGCATCCTCTCCACCGTCAAATCCACTTCCTCTTCCTATCCTCTTCGTATAAGAAAATGGTGGTACAGAGAAAGGGACTAAAATTAGACCTCCGGCGCCACACTCATCTGACGAAACACGGGATTGTTTTCATTTCACGCTTGTTTTCTGTATGGTCGTGGTATTACACCGGGCGTGCCGGCCTATTCATGCTAAGATGTTAAAGCGGGCACTACCATGGGCTGACTCCGGGAACATGGCGCATGCAACTGTGCCGAAATATCGGGAGATAAAATAACCCAATCGTGGTAAGAAACCCGTATCCTACGAACATTATAATTGTAAAAACCACGACAGTTTAAAGTTATATATGACAATTGATTTTCATTTAAAAATATAATATTAATAATAAAGATTGAATTAAAAATGTTTAATAAAAACAGAAGATATTATTATCTTAAGTGATAACTATAAAAACTAAAAGTATGTTCTTCATTTATTTATTTTATCTTTAAAGAATAACAATTGAATAATTTTTAAACATTAAATTAATGAAAAATGTAAATTGATATCCGCAAAAAACATAAAAAATAAAAAATACTAGCTTTTGCTCGCGACTCCGTCCGTGTTGTGTTCTTTCAAACTATCCTCTACATCTATGCCAAACATCGAAATCCGTTCAACCGTTTAGGCTGCAAACTCTAACAAACATCCATCTATACTTTCGCATTTATAATATTAGTATCATTTACTACGACAGACTCTTTAAATAAAATGACGCGTCTGTAAAGTTTTTAGAGCTTTTCTTTATTTACTTTTTGACTAAAAGTAATATATGGTTAAGACCCTTTTCGTTTTTAGTTCTACCTTTTTGTAGTAATTTCACAGCAAAAAAATCATCAAGTAGAGCTGTATTTTTAATATATGTAGTGTTTTGTTTTATTGATATTGCTCATATTTGAATTATTGATTGATTGCTATGTATTGTGAATTCTAAGAAACCTGCATAATTAGACAGAAAAGCAATCAAAATATGTGTACTATAGCAAACTGAACATTTACGTTAATACCTAATTTTAGAGATGTTTTGTTATTTAATTTGCTCCTTCAAATAGACGTTATTTCAAAATCGATTACTAAAATAAATAAGGATAACATCTATATTTATCTTTAAATATTATTTGAATTAATTTATAGATATTTGCTTATTTTAATTAGTGCAATTGCGCACATTTCGACCTTGCTACCGTTGGTTTCCTCGCCCAAATTTTATGAAAACTTTGTTGTCCTTGTCATAATTATTGCAAATAATAAGGACAGAAACGTTTATTATTACAATTGTCACGTCAGTGGAATTCTACGGTTAGTGCTTATAAGTTGTTATTTGCAAAATATGAATAATTTAAAGCTAGATGTTTATAGCGGCTTTTTATGTCACGTGGAGTTCAAAACAAGACGCTGCTTAATGGATGATTTAGTTTCAACGTGGCCTTATTCAAATAGGAACTATGTACTGAAAGGACATTAATATAACTAACAAATTAATTAAAAGTAAACACTCACAGCCACTGATCCCTCTAAAATGGCGCGCTATTCCAATACGTCTCAATGACATTGACAGCTGTCAGAGAGGGACGTATGTCTATGATTTTGTTCTTAACAAAAACTACTCGGAATATACTTAATTTACTCTTTGCTCGACTAATAGTAGGGGAACTCTTCCTAAGTAAGTACATATGTATGCGACTGTAATTTGAAAACTCCATCCATGCGGGTCGCCAGTAGATAACCTAAGCTAGGTCTAGGCGGAGGCGGGTCAGCTGCTTCCACGTAGAGAATCCTTGGCGACGCTTGACTTCATAGATTTTTTTTTGATATAATTCAATTTGAATTCTTATCATGAAGAATCATAAGTTTAGTTAATTATAGGGTTACTTATTTTTTTATATTAATAATTAGCTGCTTATAATAAGTTACCAAGTACTGCTCCTTGGGCAAATTTAAAAAAAGTTAAGTTTGGACGTGACATGTGGAAACTCAAATAATAGAGGTCATTTAATAAATGTTATCAATCTTACTTCTTACTATCTTACTAATATTATAAATGCGAAAGTTTAGATGGATGTTTGTTAGAGTTTGTTGCTTAAACGGCTGAACGGATCTCTATAAATTTTCGCATAGGTGTAAAGGATAGTCTGGAAGAACACTTAGGCCACTCGCTTTTGTTTTTTTAATTCCACGTGGACGGAGTAGCTTGCGAAAGCTAGTGTTTCATATTTTCTATTATTATTTAGTATAAGCACCGAGAAATGTCTTTCCAGTAACTTTGCTGCTATTCTTTCTTAAGGAGTTTTGCAAACTTTTTAGTCATATGCACATTTCGTCTAAATGAAATGAAACAAATTAAAACAACTGGTAACTTTTATTTTACTTAAATGTAATTAATATTTACATACTTTGTATTAATTTTTTGAAGGACTTCCACACAATTCTGATCAATACCTAGGTTATTTTTGTAGAACTGATAACTGTCATTTTTTTATTCTTGCATGTCTTTTTTTGTTTTTGTATTTGCCAAACATTTTTTTGAATTTGATTTTTTTTTGTATAATTTGTATTTTTGTGACAAAAATCTTTTTATCTAAATGATTGTTTCGTGAGCAAATAAGATGGGATTTTATTTATCAAAATTAATCTTAACAGATTAAAGAACAAAGGCTTAAAAAGACAAGATTTATGTTAAAATTTATGGCACAATACGAAAAGAAAAGATAAAAAATTAATATAAATTTCAAGTTTTTTGTCAGAGTGGCATTTATGTTTTTATCTTAAGATGTCTGGATATATTCAAAATTCTATATGTTATTAATTTTGTGTTGATTTAGTAAGATATTAAACATTTCAAAGATCAATGTAGAATATAGAAGGTACGAAAATGAAATTAGGTTTTTTAATCTATGAATAGATAGTCTATGAAAGTGACTAAAAACATACAAATTACCTCATCCATACCTTTAGAAATAGCACCTATAGCAACTTACTCGTAGGATTGTAACATTACTTAAAGTATATTTACAAATTAAGAGTATTAGATAAATTAGCTATTTGGAATCACTTTCAGTTTTTGACACATTTTGGTAAGTCACACTTTCGTCACCGATTATATGTCAACCAATCTTGCTTAATCATGTCAGCTCCTTTCTCACCGATCATTATTACTGCGGCGTTTGTATTACCACTAACTATTGTCGGCATAACACTAGCATCTATAACTCTAAGTCCATTTATACCATAGACTCGTAATCTTGGATCCACCACAGCTTTCTTATCCCAAGAAGGTCCCATTTTGGTTGTACCAGATTGATGGTATATTGTCATCGATATAGTCCTCACTTGACACTCAATGTATTCATCAGACATGAATTTAAATTGCTTACAATTAGGTAACGGTTTCATGTAAAGTCTTGAACCGAATTGCTTGAAGGGCGATGCGTTAGCTACTTTCAAAGCTATTTTTATTCCTTCCACTAAACGATTTACATCTAATCTATCTTCGTGATATCTGGGATTCATAATTGGATAGTCAAAAGGATTGGAACTCCTTAGCTTTACGTATCCTCTTGTGTTTGGTCTCAACAAAAGTGGCATTATCGTCCAAGCATCTTTATTAGCAATCGGTTTATATACGTTGTCGTATAACTCATCAGTGAGACCTAAAATCTTTCTTACAATTTGCCCATTATCAGATGAGAAAGATGCTGGCGCCATATGAAATTGTATATCTGGCCACAGACCAGAGCTGTTAGCGTATTTTGTGTTCACAAACGCAATGCCCTCTAAACCTCCCAAAGTAGTCATTGGTCCTCTTTCGTTAATTACATAGTTCATCGTAACTGGGAATGCTTGGAAACGATTTTGCACAATTGCAACTGGTTTATCGACTAGAAATGTTAATCCTCCCACGCCAACGTGATCTTGCAAATTTTCACCTACAGCTAAATCTTTCAAAACTTTAATTCCAACTTCTCTAAGATGATCTTTAGGACCTATTCCAGATAACATGAGTAATTGTGGACTATTTATTGCTCCAGCGGATAATATTACTTCTTTTTTCGCAAAAACTACTCTTTTTATGCCATGTTTTACATATTCAACACCGTAGGCTTTCATAGTTATTGGATTGATTAAAACTTTGGTAACTTGAGAGTTGAGTGATACATCTAAGTTTCGTCTCGTTCTAACCGGCCTCAAAAATGCTTTTGCTGTACTGCACCTGGAACCACGTCTGATAGTTCCTTGTGCGATCATGAAACCTGTTTGAACGGCTCCATTGATGTCTCTGTTCTCATAACCTATTTCGACTCCCGCCTCAACGAAAGCAGCCACCAAAGGCGTTCTCCATGGCGCTTCTTGTACTGTAAGGTAGCCACCTCTTCCGTGATATTGGCTTTTAGATAAATAAGGATTTCTGTTATCTTCAGACTTTATGAAATATTTGAGTACATCTCGATAGCTCCACCCGGGATTGCCGAATGACTCCCACTGGTCGAAGTCGAAACGATTCCCTCGCACGTAGATCATGTAGTTCAGGACACTGGACCCGCCAAGCACCTGGAATGTAAATGAAGTACTATTAATAAAACGATAAAATAAATTAAAGACTGTAATATTTTAAAGGGTTTAAATTGTTTTATTTCAAATAGATTTGAGAATGTTTTGGACTGGCAAAGTAAAATGGGAACATTAAAATGTACGAGTACGCTACTAGAATGATAGATATTATCGTAATTTTAATTTAAAGACAGATCAAGACGAACTAATAAATTTGAAATACTTTAATTCATACTTAAAGTATTGTAGTGTATTTAGTATAAATATTGACAGAATTAGGAACTAGTCATCATCAACTTGCCCTTATCAGGTCGGCACAGTATGTGCTGCTCTTCCATACATCTCTATCAGCCATCATATCTGAATCCACTCATTTCTTAAGCATATCCTCTTTCACACAATCCATCCATACTTTCTTCGGTCTTCCTTGTCCTTTGGAGCCATCCACGTTCAATTAGAATTAAGAATTAGGAACTAGTAGTAGTACAATTTAAGGTACCTTTCCTCGTGGCCAACTGCACCTATGGTTTTTGAAACCAAGGCAGGCGTACGGCGTAGGCTCCGTCTTGTACTGCCAGTCGAGCTTAGTCAGCTGTAAGTAGCCCGCCAGCGAGGGCACGTCGGTGATTTCGTTCTCGTCTGGTCCTGGAAAATACAAATTATTATGGTTAATATTATACCAGATAAGACTATCTTTCTGATTTTCAAATTGTGATCAGATGTTAGCTACATTTTTTAATATGTTTTTCATAAATGTTAAATCAGAAAATGCTAGTATTTTACTCATATTTGACAGTGTTGAGATAAATGAAAAAAAGAATGTTATTAACACTGCATGAAATATTATTTATGATTCTTTCCAGTTCTGTACTGCTATAAAATGAATTACTGTTTTTGCTAGTAGTAACTTAAAAGCACACTCACCAGTCTCTAACAATAAGACATTCCAATCCTTCACTTCAGTAAGTCTGTTAGCGACAACAGCTCCAGCCGACCCTCCACCGATTACGATAAAATCGTATTCTTTCCTCGGTTCCTTATCCAGTACTTTAGCTTCTGGGTCATATGAACTGTAATTGTGATACGTAAGTGCTCCGAGCAGCAATGGTATCACCCACAGTCCAGTAACGCTGATCGTCTTCAGCGCTGTAGAAGCTAGTAACACATGTAAACCCATCTTTATTAATTTAGATTGCTGTTCAGTTCTTAGGCTTGTCCTCTTCTTCTTCTTTTGTTTTAGACTTGTTTTTGTTTTGGCTTTGGTTTTAGATTGGATTCATTTGTTATAGAATCGTTTGCTTTTTTCTGTCCGGTGGTTTGATTCTGCGCATCGCTTTGTTATCGCTTGCTTGGCGACGAGACCGCATGTTAGTCTGCATCGCAATTGTGAGAGATTGTTGAGCTTGGCTGTTGCGTCTGGAAATATGAAAAGAATACTGTTATTTTGGATTTCTAGATGTATCGATTAGGTTTGAGAACGTTTGTTGGTTTGACTTTTAAACGGCGTTTAACGTTTGTTACGTCGTAACTGTCTACATTGACTACATTCAGGAACTGTTAACGCTATTTACATAAATTGTTTTATTATTACTATGTTATATATTGATTATAATTATACATTTAGGCTATTATTAAAATTTATAATCTCTTTGATATTTTGTACATTTAGTAGAAAGAGATGGATGGATTGCGTTAAAGGACATGAACAAGAAGGGACTGAGATGAAGTATGATAGAGCTATGTGGAGGACAAAAAACTGTTGCGCCGAATCAACGGGAGTAGCATGAGGAAGAAGATTTGGTGGTTTATAATTATAATCCTTTTTCTGTTTCAGGTAATTAATGAGGTCTAAATCAATGAAGTTTAAGTACAAGTAATATCCTAAGCAAAAGTAGGTTGGTACATTTCTTTTATTAAATAAATTATTAGTGTTTTATTTTTGTTATAATTAAATAATACGAAGTGAAAGAGATGTTATAAACCGTACTGCATTACTGTTACATTTGTGTGTAAGAGAGAGGTAATATTTCCTAGCAGTGCGGAAGATGTGATCTAATTCCTAGGCATTATAAGTCACAAACCAGCGTGAAAGTGAATGTAGACCGCTATCAGTGACAATAATATATTGTTTAAAAATTGTCAACTAGTTAGCTAATCAGGAAGTGTCCTTTGTGACTCGATTATTTAGTTTTCAGTTTACGTAATAGGAACTAATAGATAATAAATGTTCTCAAATTGTTATACAAGAAACGGATATGGAAATTCGTTTATATTAAAAATAATATGTTTTGGATTCCTTTATAAATTTGTTTTTAAAAGTTCTTTCATTCTAGCTTTTTAATTTTAACTAAGATTGACTTTTTTTTAAAAAATATTTCGGTTGCGATTTCTTTGTTGATGTTTTATTTATTTTAATTTAAACTTTTTCATATCAACAATGAAAATCTATTTTATTTAGGCCGCTACGTTTATTTGCTACCTAATTTAATGCTTTATTTACAAGTTGAAACATATTTAATAAATTATTTTTTAATGCATGTTAAATAATGTTTTAAATGTTTAATGTCTGTTTCTTATTTTAACATAACTTATAGATAAGAATAATGAATGCTATTCTTTTGTAGTTATTGGGGCGTGATCTTGGTTGTTCCATTGTGGTACTTCGTGCGTGGCCGTATTATGTTTACTAGAGACACATATGTAATATTATGTCATCTACTTTTCTAGGAGTAAATCAAATTTTGATTGTTCATTGGTGGTCTGCGATTGAAATGCAGATTTTCCCATCCGAAAGTGTTCCTGCATCCTGCAGTTAGGTTAAATCATTACTTCCTACTTCAACAACTTCCTAGATTTATTCCAAAACTTTGAATGCATATTAATGTTTAATTTAATTAATGTTAAATTTCAAAAGTGAATTTCACTTCCGTATTTCGATGATGAAATCAAATCTCATCTAAGTATTAAGTTACATGCATTTAGTGCTAGTAGCACACAACAGTTAAAGCGAACTGGAACAGAAGCAAAGTGCAACAGCTGACCTAAAAAAGGAATGCAGAATTTGCTACGTATTCAATTTTTTAACGCTCGAAACAATCACGTACCATCTATCATCGCATCGCTTTAGCTTCGCTTTTGCTGGTATAAAGTCCTAAATGCAAATATATCGTCACGTTTCAGTATCGCATTGCAATTACAGAATAAGTACGCGTTCCGATTATCTCAAATGTATTGATAAACAAATCTTATGTAAGTGAAAACCAGTTTGTCGGTAAAAATCCGCCGTCTTCGGGTGAAGGTCGTCTATCGAACTTTCGATTGTACACATCTGTTGCGATAAAACGGGTCGGCAGAAGTTAAGTCATCGTATTTTAAGAATGTGTTTACACAATGTACTTTATGCCGTAGGAAAATGTAATTAATGTTGACATTTCAATAAATTAGATGCAGTTACAAGACTTGATTAAAATGAAGCAGTGACAGACGTAATAACGAATGATGATTTGGAAGAAACGCAATTATTTGACGAATTACAGAAACAAATCGATAATATAAAGTTGTCAGAGAGAACGGTTGTTTGTAAAATTCAAATCCGCGGGTAGATCATATACACTGTAACGATCTTCTATTGTAGGCTTGCGTGTGTTGGAGATAATGAAATAACAATCGCGTAACATCAGAAACACCATCATTAGTTGACACCCATCTTTATTGATAACTTCACAACACACTCTAATCGAATAGCAAACATTTACAGAGATAACCAGTTGATTTTATATTAACAAAACTCATCAATCCACTATTCAAAGACAACTGTCATCTGTCATTCTATCTTCGTCTTGACATCTATCATGCACGATGCACATTCAGCCAGTACTCAAAATTATTAGTTGCCAGTTACTTTAATCGTTCAAAAAGTATCAATAATTTCGCCCCTTTAAAGTGAATGGTGTAAACATTTAAAATGTAATTTGTGGTTGATTTCCTTTCAAGCAAGGTTTTTGATCCGTGTGTAATCTGACCTTGTCAGTCTCCCCCGTCTTTTTTCGTTATAATGTCAAAGACTCTAAAATCAATACAACGTGAACGAACTTGCTTGTCACAGATTAGCAGAAATACAGATATACTGTGTATAATTCTGATCTGATATTTAATATTATGATAAAGAAGACTTACGTTTGATGCTGAAGTAACAAGAAAGATGTACGGTCCTGCCGTAAGAAACGTTTTGAAACCTATCCCTTTGGACTACTACTATTGTTTCTATATAGTTACGTAAAATGTGCAAAACTAATCGTAAAAACCAACATTCCATAAGAAACTTCGCGAAGACGTATCGTAACCCGGCACAGTTGTAAAGCGGGTGAAGGCCGTCGAAAACACTTTCTCTGTTACATAAGTTCCCGCGCAATATCTGTAGGCCCGGCCCGGTGTGCCTCGACCTTTATTGATAGGCCGGTCGCTTGTTAATTGGAGATATTAACATTTCATTAAAATAAACGACCATGACCCATACTGACCTAGATGGGACTTCGTTCATTTTGAGTTCTCCTTTACGAATTATGGCTATACACTATCGAGTCAATTTAATAGCTATGACGCCGTGCACTTAATACGGAGAGATAATGATCACAAAAACAAGAAAATATCAAGATCGTGATACCTACAAAGGTAGAGAAAGGTTAAAGAAAGTAGGGAGGTGTTATGAAAAAGGATATGCTTAAGGGAATTAAGATCTTACGGCTGATAGACATGTATGGAAGAGCACATACTGTGTCAAACCACCGTAGCGCAAGGGCAGGTTGATGATAATTCCATACAGACGTCTGTTAATACTTTAACACCCCTTTTTATACTTCGTACAAATACTTGGTTTTATTACGTTGATAATTTAGGCCCCTAGGTCAGAAGTAAGCCAATACAGAATAATTGTAACACATGTTTTCATAAAGAGGAATTTTAGACGCAGTAAGCTTTGTATGTCGTATTCATTTGTTTCAATTGTTCTTTCAAGTTCTAGCGTTGCAAAGTTTGTCAATTCAATTCGAGAGAAGATGCGGTCGTGGTCACCATGACGACCGCATCCTTATTCTGGCTTCGAGATATTATATAGAATAAGTTGATGTATGTACGTATGTATTACATATTAGGTACATGTAAATGATATAACATGAACATTACGTGTTAGCGATAACCGGCGATGCAATATGCCGCATATTACGTGCATATTATAGCACGTTTCCATTTTACATAGCTATTTAAGTACATGATAGTTAACTTGTTAAAATGCGGTTTTGTAACTACAACGCGTGCACAATAACATCATACTCAAGTGGAGGGAAATGTACTTGATTCGTAAAAAGACATGCTTGATTTAATTAAATATCAAACTCGTGTCTGGATTGTTAGGTTATGTTAAATTTTATTGTTATTTAGCAAACATTTTTTTACTAATTTTTGCTATGCGTTATGGTCGACTGCGTCAAATAACCTTGTAACAGTCTGTACTTGGAGGAAAGTTACCTCGTAGTGTTAAATAAATAAATGTATAAAAATATATTATTTACATTTTATAGTAATGTCTTCATCTATACTATTATATGCAATTACAGCATATTTATGAATAATTCTTTTTTTTTTAATAAAAAGCCCTACACTTACGTCTCGCTTCAGGCATATATTTTCACGACATTAAACTTAGTGAGTAAATATTTTGGGTAAAAACCCTAATGTGGGCCAGACTATAAGTTGCAGCCAACATCAAGAAAGCAATATTGCTCAGGTTTGTCATGTCATGTCATTTTGACATTTGCTATTGATAATTTGACAAATGTAAACAATAAAATAAAATTTTCATAATTTCATGCGTATGAAGCCGCACGGAAACAGCTAGTTTTAAATAAAACCGTTTAAAAAACATAAAATCAGTCCTTGACTTCAAATTATTCAATGTGCCTATTTATCAAAAAAAATTGCACATTTTTATTGACCAATGCAAAACTGGGTTACAATTGACACCTTTTAGTGTTATTCTTTATGCTAATAATACTAATAATGTAAGGTATATTAAAGTTTTGTAACTAACAAGTTTTGTTTTGTCACGCTCCGGTTTCTTCATTTTATAACATACAAGCTTATGCTCGCAACTCCGGCCGCGTGGTATTAAAAAAACAAAAGTAAATAACCTATGTGTTCTTTCATACTCTGCTCTACATTTATGTCAAATTTCATCCAGTTTAGACTACAAACTCTAACAAACATCCATCCATCCATTTAAACTTTCGCATTTATAATATTAGTTAGATTTAGTTCATGGTTGCCAAGAAATTACTTTTTGTACTTGAATAATAAGGATTGAAGTTTAAAGCCAACTGCATACGCTCGGTTTTAATCAATAGTAAAAAAAGTGCGTGCGT